TATAAATCCTCCACATTCAATATTATACTCACAGTTAAAAAAAAATAATAAATAATCGTTATAACTAATAATCCAAAAATGTATAGTTATGTCGTGTATGTAAACTAAAATTATGTGATACAATTTGTAAATATTCTACATAAATCTTGTATTACTCCATTAGTGTATTTATTTATAGCATCCTGTAACACTGTAATTTTTTTTTTAATTTCCAATTTTTTAGCTTATTTACTTGAAATATGCCATTTAGTTTACATAAGAATGGATTTGAAATTCGGTGAAAACTTTACTAAAAATATGAAGATTCAGTTGACTTTTATAAAATGAATTGCTTAGATAACTATGAAAGGATTCACAGGCAAAACACAAAAAAAACTGTCGGAGTTTACATTAGACCTTTTATTAACTTTTTATCTTAATCGATATTCTGGTGGAGTTTACTATCGCCGAGACCAGCGATTCCTAAAGCGTGTTCCGCGGAACCTAAGGTTCAGTGGCGTAGCTATCCTCATCAGCGCCCCGTGGCAAAATATATTTTTTGCCCTACCTAATATAAATTAGACTCTTCAAGCTTTTCAAAACTTTACTGTGACCAAATTTATGATTTTTTCTTTATTATTGGAATGTGTGTGAGAGAAAACTGAAACCATAATTGAATCGCTTATTACAGAAACCCCGTAAGAGACAAAAATTTCGAAACATATTATTTTCTACTTGCTTATATCTTTTTAGTAGACACATCGATTTTGCAGAAGCCCCATCTTATTTACGTGGCCAATTCGCGTCTTTGAAATTTTTGTTTGGAGCAGAAACCCCTATGTAATGTCATGTAATACAAAAAATACAAACAAGTGGAAAATAATATGTTTCAAAATGTTTGTCTCTTACGGGGTTTCTGTAATTAGCGATTCAATTATTATGAATATTATCATGAACGGAACATTCTAAAAATAAAAATGTTCCCTGACTACTGATAAATGGTAAATGATAAATGATAAATCTACACTGTTAATAACAAATTACCATCACTATTTATCGGTTTTTTCGTGCTAACACCATAGACCTTATGTCCTTGTACTACAGGTAGTTGGAGTATGGATGCGGTTCCGGCGTATAATATATAAACAGTGACAGCGCTGTTCGAGGTAGTACATCAACATCGTACACCGCACATATCAGTCAACTAGTATAAGGCTTGTGACTAATACTTATATACAGGGTCCGGCAAAAAACCTCCCATATTTCAAAAAGTAATTGCAAATTAATAAACAAAGATACAGAACAAATTCTTTTATTTTTGAATTACACATAATATGCCATTTTACATTAAATACAATTATTACTTTGTTTTGAACATAACGTCTGTCAAATACCGTCCTTCTTTGCTGATACATTGACGAAGCCTTTCCCGGAAGTTTTCCATTACTCTTTTTGTCATTGCCGGTGTAATGGCAGCCACCTCCTGTGTGATTGCTTCCTTAAGTGTCTGAAGTGTTGTAGGGCGATGTTTGTAAACTTGCGCCTTTAAATATCCCCACAGAAAATAATCACAAGGGGATAGATCGGGTGACTTCGGGGGCCAGGTGATGTCTCCTCGCAAAGAGAGAAGACGTCCAGGAAACAATTCCCTCAAAATGTCTAGGGAACGCCGTGATGTGTGGGCTGTGGCTCCATCTTGTTGAAACCAAACTTCTCCCTCTACATGGTTTCTTGCAATCTGATTTAGGTTAGGTCGAAGGAAAGTCTCGATCATGTGACAGTAGCGATCCGAATTGACCGTTACTCTTAGTCCATTTTCTTCAAAAAAATACGGACCTAACACACCAAAATCAGATACTGCACACCAAACTGTCACATATGGGCTCTGAAGTGATCGTTGATAAAGTTTCTGAGGATTTTCTACTGCCCAGTAGCGGAAATTTTGTTTATTAACAATACCAGACATGTGGAAATGAGCTTCATCAGACGAAATCAAAACATTACCAGCGGGAATGTTCTGAAGAATGTCTTTACACACCGCTCTACGAGTTTCAAAATCTCTCTCACTTAATGCTTGTGTAATCATCATTTTGTAAGGGTGCATATGAAGATCTCTGTGCAGGATTCTTTTTACACTCCTATCAGAAAGTCCCAGGGCAGCTGCATGTTTAACTGCTGAACGCCTTGGAAATTTCTGGATGGACGCCCTCACACGTGCGACATTTTCGGGTGATGTTATGGTCAAAGGTCGGCCAGGCGGTTTTTTCTTCAGTGCAGAACCCGTTGCTCTAAAGTTGGACATCCAAACGAGCATTGTTTTTCTATCCGGAACATAATCATGTCGGCCAAGTTTGAACCGGATGCGAAATGCTCGCTGAGTAGAAATCGCAGAACCACCATTACGGATATACTCCTCTACAACAAAAGCACGATGTTCACCGGTCCACGCCATTGCGCCTACTAAAAATGGCACGTACACCGCTATCGATCGATACCTCTTCCATAGTTGTACCAACACCACAACTCACACAGCGTAAGTTCTAAATACGGGAGGTTTTTTTGTCGGACCCTGTATTTTATGGTTTTAACGACCACTACCCAGGATTTTAATTTATAAACACAAACATTTCTTTTTCTTCGAATCAAGTATTTAAATATAAAATAAAAATACTAAAAAAAGATATTCAGAATACGTAGCTATTTGAATATATTTTTTTAAATATATATTTAGAATAGTATTGGAATGCTTTACAGCACCGGTTAGCCTCCACGGAACGCAAACCATAAGGTTTCCGTGATCGTAAAAATAAAAGGTAACCGATGCCGTAGACCGCGTTGAACAGTCCACCACGAAACCGTTAAATATCGATATCATTCTAACCGATGATTTAATGACGTTTTTAATTGTTCCGTGCAGGTGTTTTCGCGACGCGTTTCGTTCTCCGTTTCTTCCGTTGCCGTTTTGAATTCCGGCGCGGCCCTGATAAACATTCCGTTACCATTCTACATCGATCGCGCGTTACATCGATATCCGAGTCCTGTTTGTTTTGCAACCCGTCCGGATGCGATTTATTCGCTACGGTAATCCCGTCGACCGTTGTTCCCCGCCGTACGATATTATATCGTTAACGGGCCGTCGCCGTGCTCCGATAGCGGTGGCGATACGTGCGCGGTTTATATCGACGTCGATAGTGAGATTATCGAACGATTTTTCACGTTCCATGTTCGTTACCGCTCACCGCTGCACACTTCCGTTTTGCAGCTGTCGTTGCCGCCGCCGCTGCTGCTGCTCCTGGTGTCCGGCGGTCTGGTTCTCCGAGCAAAACAACGTCGTCGTATTGTTGTATATATATTATAGTACCGCGCTCTCTCCCGTTGCAACGGATACCCGACCGCGATCGTATCGACAATAAACGGTAAAAAAAAAAAAAAAATAAATATATATTTTAATCGAGTTTCCCGTGACGGGGCCGCCCCCGCGTCAGCTCCGGTCGGTCATCCAGTACCGTCCGGCCATCGTTGTTACGCGGTCGTGTGTTCTCGTTTTTTTCCTTTTTTTTTTTTTTTTATTTATCAATATTTTCAGTATTTATTTTTTTTCGTGGAAATACGCTACGACGATGCCGAACGAGAAACCAAACGCTCCGATTTCTCCGGCGGACGTATGACCGCTACGCCTTATGTTCTCCGATTGTCGTCACGATTTTCGCATCGCACGTCTAGCAATTGGTACGTAATGGTCAACAATTTGACGTCCAGGTATACACGATATCGTAACATCACGGTGTTCCGTAATAGAACATCGCCCGCGGCGGTAATCTTATGGCGATCTCCTTTCAATTTCCCTCGTCCTCACGTCAAGGATTCTATTCGGTTGTCTTGGTTCGTCCGTCCGTCTTGGGTACCTATCGCAATCTCTGTAAGACAATAGAGCTAAAATTGTTTCGAAACCGACGTAGCCTAGAAACCTGAGAAACACCTTCCTAAATACCAATGCGAGTGTGATATTTTGATCGACAATTTAAGACGTTTTAAGTGCATTAGACGCGTATGTATTGTATGATTTGTTTTGATAAGATATTATTTTGAACACTCGAAAAAATAAAACTGCCAATAGGTATATTGATATATTTTCTGCTTCTCAAACATGCACTTACCCTAAACTCATAGTAAAGGTAATACATAATAAAAGACTCGCATAGTCAAACACTACTTGTTAATAAAGTGAAAAGTACAAAAAAATTCTATTGTTAAATAAATCAGTCTGTTTATGTTTTATTTAATGTATAATATAAATTATATATTGATATGTCTTAGCAATAATCGGTAAGGAAAAAAAAGTAATAGACCATCGTTATTATTTCCTTATACCTCATTAATTGGTATTTAAGTCAGTGTTTACAAAGTTTGAAAATGATATAGGTAACTAATTGAATGGAAATAGTTAAGTAATATTCAATATTTTTTTTTTTTTTTTTTTTGTTGATAAGTTTATATTTCGTTATATAGTATTTTACCTGATTGGTATAATAATTTTTATTTTATACATTTTAAATTAATATTTATTTGACCAATTTTACAGTTTTTTTTAAGAATACATGAAATTGATCAATGTTGATCAACTAATTAAAATTAATTAATTTCTATAAAATCATTACATAGAAATAATAACTAAGTTACTATCATATTAAATCACTACATACCTTATGGCTAATTGTATTTAAGTAAATCTATATATTTTCAATATTGGAATTCAAGGTTAAATTTATTTAATGATAGTATCTAACCTAGCCTAACTTATAAATTATATTTTGTACTTAAATAAAATATAATATGTAAGTTTAAAATTTTACTAATTTTAATAAGTTACATATATGATAAAAATTATTTTTTTTTTCTTAAAACAGGACATTTTTATAAACTGTTTATTTGCTTTATAATTTTATGACATTAGCTTAAAATGCAGGTAATATGTAATTATTTAGATACTTTATACTTATGATCTTTTGTATTCTATACATTTTTAACTACATAATTAGTATTAGGTATTAGGTAAAACAAGCAAAATGTAATAAAACTAAACTATTACTTATTGAATTTTGGTTATAATTAGTATTATATGCTTACTTTTTAAAATTTGCTAATTTTAGACAACATATCAGCATAGGTGGACATCGGGAAGGCTTAGACCCCCCCCAAATATCTTAATAGCCCACCAAAATCGAAACTTTATTAGAAATGTTATTCGTTGTTTTTATAATTTTTGTTCGTTTTTTTGAAAATTGTAAAATAAGTAATAATAAAAAACTATTTACAATAGCATTAACAATACCAATTACATAGTTTTGCTACTTGTAAAAGAAGTTTCAGTGCAATGAAAAAAATAAAAACTTGGTTAAGGACATCGTTGGTTCAAGATAGGTTCAGCGATCTTTCAATACTATATATTAAAAAGATATATCGAAAAATATAAAAAGCAATGATATTTTGAATATCTTTGCTGATACAAATAGATATTTGTCATTAAAATAAAATATTAATTATTTTAAAAATAAGTATTTAGTGTTTTTTTTTAATACAATTTAAACATATCTATATTTTTAATGGTAATAATTATTACTTGTGCATGGGAAGGTGGTATGGGGGTGAAGACCCTGCGGGTTATTTTACATTGAATTATTATAACCCCCCAAAAATTCAACCAAATATCCACCTATGTATATCAGTTTTTACAACTTAAATTTAATAGTGATATATGATATTATCACACATGAATGATTTTAAACTAGGTATTCGTAAAAAAGCCATATGTTAATTTAATTTAAAAATGTATCAAAAAAAAATAAACTTTACCTTCCCTTGTATTAAATTTCTATAAAGGACAGTTTTTATAGATTCAATTGTATTATTATAACATACCAAAAATGTATATGTTATTTTAAATTACAAATGGTAGTTGTCAAAATCGGTATGTATCAAAAAAAAAAAAAAAAAATCAGCATAATTGTTTTTGTTTCCCAAAAAATATAGAATATTATGTTATAACTAGGGAACGGATTTATATGTAAATGCATATTTTTATTAAAACGAGATATTTAAGATTCGATAAGAAACGTTTATGATTTAAAACATTCCTATTAAAATTATGATACTTTTATTTTACATATTTTTACATATTTTGGTATAATTACATATTTTTACATATTTCACTAATTTTTAAATATTTTTAAACATATTTTTATCATTTAATCATTCATACGTCTTCTTCGTACGAAAATACAAGAAATTATTTCAAAATTAGATCCAGAAACTTTTATCGCTATTGGAAAAGCTCAAAATATTATGCAAAATGAAACATTGAAAATAATTTAACAAAACTATTAATAAAAAATATGACCCCAAATGATAGTATGCAAATTGTTGAATCAGCGATTAAAACTCGTAAGGAGACCAATAGATGTCGTAAAAAAGAAAATTCATGCTATTACAGAAAAAAATTCCAGGCAATATTGATTTTAAAACAATCAATGACATAATGAATGGCAGACAACCTTTTAAAAATTTGGAATTATCGCCTTCTGATAGTATGCACTTGAAATATGCTTTTAATACATCGGTTGATGTGAAACGATAATTTAGCCGTTTTAAAAATATTTTGATACCTAATAGGCGACATTTAACATTTGATAATTTACAAGATATTGTAATAATACAATGCAACAAATCTTTTTGATAATTTAATAATAATAATCACTTTTTTTTTAAATTTTTTTTCCCCACATATTTGGATGTTTTTAGCACATATTTAATATATTATACTTACATATATATGTACATATTTCTGTATTTTTATTACATATAAATCCGTTCCCTAGTTATAACATTAATTATGAATTAATTATGAATTTATGATTTTATTCATGTATAAAAAGTATACATATTGGTTTAGAATAAATCCATAGTTTATAATGCATTTAAATGGTTGATTAATTTATTTTATATTAATATTTTAGTTAATTTATATAGAGTTTTTTATTGGAGATTAATAAAATTTATAATAAATAAATAGTTTATGAATAATAGTATACTATTACCATATTCATTAGTAAATATTATTTTTTTTATAGTGCTTATGTAAGACAATATAGCATGAATAAAATTTTAATTTTTATGTTTTGTATTTTATTACATGGTCAATAGAAATAATTCTGTCACATTATAGTATCTTACATATTGACTTTCAATAATGATATAAATTTTAAAATGTGTTTAATATTTTAATGGGCATAATGATTATTTTTTTTCCAATAATTAAAATTAAAAATATGAGTAAAAATATATACATACACATTTTTAAGTAGTTGTTAGTAAATCGTAAGTCATATTCTTAAATATAGGATTATATTATTTTATAAGATAAACATTTTATAAAAAATATCATTATGTTCCATTACTATTCATATGTTTTCAATCATGGAAGGTACATTATTAAAACTGACGTGTCAATACATTTTTTGTTTTGATACTATTACAATTAAATATTTTAATTATTTGTTATTATGTGGCTGAGCTATTTTAGTTAATAAGTATTCCAACTCATTATCTTTTTGAACACTGCGTAAATACTTTAATATCAAAATATTAAGTATGGACTTTAATTTTATTTTTTCTATATATGTAACACTTAAGGTTTTTCTAAATTTTATATTTTATGAATGGATGATGTTTATAATTACTTTCTATTTACCTAGTTTTATACTATAATTGGATAAGGTGTTGGAAAGTACTAGATATGGTCCAGTTGCAACAGTGGTATGACAAGTTACCTATCAACATTATATTACTTTTAGCATTATTTTCTCCTTATAAATAATTTTTTATTATACATACCACTTAATATATATATACTATGTTGTATCAAAGTTTCATTAGCATAAAATTAGATTGTATGAAATAATAATTTTGTTTTCTGTATTTAAAGGATGTTAACTGTAAATAAAAATGGCTCTTCCTAGTGATGGAGATGATAAAGAATGGCTTATGAGCCTTTTAGTAGATGTTCAACTAGAACATTTCCATACTCGAATTATCGATGAACTTCAAGTAAGTTATAATTGTCAAAATGTGTACACAGTTGATAGTTAAATAATACAATTTACATAATATTTTTTTAATGTCTTGTTTTATTGTTAGATAACTAGACTGTCTCATTTTGAATATGTTAAACCTGAAGATTTGGAAAATATCGGTATTAGCAAACCAGCAGCTCGAAGATTATTGGAAGCTGTTAAGAAGCGAAAAGGTGCTGAACGGAGATATAAAATTTTATCAATTTTGGGTGGAACTCAAGCTAGCAAACACTCAACTGGAACTGTAAAAAAGCATGCTTCTACTACTCAAATTACTCAACCATCAGCTTTATCTCTTACTTGTTTAATTCTTGAAAAGGATATCAAGTAAATCTTTATTTTATTATTAAATTATATATTTATTAATATTAATACTAATTTTTTTGTTAAGGTTATCTGAAAAAATTGGTGATGGTTCCTTTGGCATTGTGAGTCGTGGAGAATGGACTACTTCAACTGGACAGATCCTTCCAGTTGCTGTCAAAATGCTAAAACAAGATGTACCATCATTGCCACAAATGTTTGAAGATTTTGTTAAAGAAGTTCAATCCATGCACACATTAGATCATGTGCACCTTATTAAGTAATTAAGTTGCACATATAGTTTAGCAATTATATAAAAATAAAAGTTAAATCTTCATTTAACTAAGTTACTTTGTTTATAAAAAAAGTATTATATTGGTAAAAATAGGTATTTCTTATTACAAATCATACAATTACTTATAGTAGAAGTAGGTTATTTTTGTTAATTAAAAATATTTACCACATTTGCTATTATTCTAGCTTTGAATGAGTTTTCATTAATGATATATTATTAAAACGGTACTTATGTCACAGTTTGCTTTATAAAAAGAAAACATTAATATATTATAATGTATTGATTTTAAATTAAAAGGACAATATTTATGAATTATGATAATATTTGGTTTAATAATATTGCCACTGTTTTTTTTTAATAATAAAATAAAAATTATGTTTACAAATATCAAATAAATAATTACTGTATTAAAATATTTAAGAAAGTGAGCGAAGAAATATAATTTATTTATGAGTTATATTTGTTATTAATGTAATTATTATTTTATATACAATTATTTTCAATGTTATATTTACTATTAAATTTAATTAAGGTTGTATGGGATTGTTTTAACTCAGCCAATGATGATGGTTACTGAACTAGCTCCTTTAGGAAGTCTAAGAGATTATTTAAGAAAACAATGTGGCCATATTTTGATAACAGATCTATGGGAGTATGCTTTACAAGTGGCTACTGGCATGGAGTATCTAGAGAAAAAACGATGCATACATAGAGATTTGGCATGTAGAAATATATTACTTACCACACCTCATCAGGTACAGTTATTATTTATCAATATTATAGATACTGTAATTATAAATAAACAATTTGTTTTTTAGGTCAAAATTGGTGATTTTGGTCTCATGAGATTATTGCCAATGGAAGAAGATTGTTATGTTATGACTGAACGGCGTAGAGTACCATTCCCTTGGTGTGCACCTGAAAGCTTACGTACACGACAATTTTCACATGCTTCTGATACATGGATGTATGGTGTAGTACTTTGGGAAATGTTTACTGGTGGAGAAGAACCTTGGGCAGGTCTTGATGCTTCTCAAGTACTTTCCAAAATTCTTCGAGAACGAAAACGTTTAGAGCAACCAGAAGCTTGTCCGATAAATTTGTATAGATTAATGCAACAAGTTAGTAATTTATTTTTACGCATATAAATTAAATTACATTTTTTTCCTTTTGTAGTGTTGGATTTTAGACCCTGGTGAACGTCCAAGTTTTAAAAGTATAAGAAATTATTTAAAAAGTAATTCGCCAAACATAGTCAAAGCTACATCAAATTTGGTAGCCAGTGAATTTAGTGATGAGCCAAGCAGAATGAATATAGAAGAAGGAGATAAGATAATTGTAATTGATGGTCAACCTGATCATTTCTGGTGGAAGGGACAAAATTTGAGGACTTATCAAATTGGAAATTTTGCAAGGTAAATCATTACTAATAATTTATATGTATAGCGATAAAGATTATTTTTAAAATTAAATACATTTATATAGACGATCAGTTGATCCAATGAGACGGAAAGCATCAGATGACATTAGCAAACCCTTAAGAAATTCTTTTATACATACTGGCCATCACGGCGATTCTAGTGGAAACAATTGGGGTTTTCATGATAAAATCGATAAAGTTTATTTGAATAATCCTATGGATCCTCCAGATTTATTAGGAGGTCCAAGAGTGGTTGAACCAGGCCCTCCTATTCTGCCAAGTCGAAAAAATACTAGTCCCAAAAAAAATATAGATGTAGTCGAAAAAAATTTAAGATGTAAAGCAGAAAAGTCCAAAAATACTGTGCTTACATCTATTCTTCCAAGTAATAGACAATTTAACTACTCTAAGCTTCCAGATAATCGTAAAAGGAGCTTAAGACCTGCTCCTGGTAGACCTCCAGGCCCATTTCCTCAGTTTTCTACTGGTGAACAAGTTTTAGTCGATTTAGATGGATGTACTCCACCCCCAGTAAATTATAACAACAGTAGTACTTCATCCATGAACTCAAATTTATCTATTCTAGACCAACCAATTGATGTTGCAGAAAGTAAACATTTTTTCCTTTTATTATAATTAAACTTTTATATAACTATTGAACCTTATTATTTTTCAGCTGATAATTCTTCTGAACCTTTTGATTATCATCATTCATACTCGAATGTCAGCGGATTGTTTTCATCTGAACAATCTACTGATCCATTTGATACTTCAATATTTGATACTGCTACTGGAGCTGTTCATAATTTTCCTTCTTATTCTGATATACCTAATATACAAGCAAATGAGCCTGTGATGGATAATACGCCCAAACTTGATATGAATTTTATTGCTGAACTTGAAAAAAATTTAGGTAAAAAAGAAGCTCAAGCCAACACTAATAATCAAGTTGTTTTGGCGCCTCCAAATGTTGTTCCAAAAAAATTGAATACAGAACATTTAAATTCAGCTATTCCTCGACCATCAAGCTCCATTAGTACACACTCAAATAGTGCTAGTGTTAGTTATTATTCAACCACTGATCTTGATATGTCATCATTTATCTCCAAGTATGATTCAGATCCAATCTATGCAGCAAATCTAAATATGGCAGAAAATAAGGTTAAAGAGCTGTGTATAAGTGATATACCATCAAACAAAAACACCAACAACACTTCTTCAAATTGTTTTAGAAATGATTTGTATTCAAATAGAAAGACTGATAATTTAACTGTTGCATCAAATTATAGCTCACCATATTATAGTCCTCCGGTAGACATGTCTAGATATTACAGTCAAACTCCTAACATGTATCAAATTGTTCCAGAGCCAAATACAGTAATTATTAAAAAAAAAATATATATTTTCTGATTGCAAATAATGTATTAATTTTTTTTTTTTTTTTAGTCCGATTCATCAGTATCACAGCTTTGTAATTATTTCAATAATTCAGTAACTGAAGAAGAATGTTTAGATGCTTTGGAGGCAACATCTTGGAATTTTCAGGAAAGTGTGAAACATCTAAAAATTAATAATTTATTGAGGTTAGTAAATTGATAACCAGTGAAAAGAACAATTTAATAAAAATAAAAAAAGTGTTATAAACGATATTCTTGTGAATTACATTATAACTGGTATTTTTAGATTAGGAATGGCATCCAGAGAAGCTTGTGTAACTGCTTTAAACAACTGTAATTGGAATGTGGAAGAAGCTGCTTCTACTCTATGTGATACTGTTTGATCTACTACTTGTGTAATGAAAATATTTTTCTTCTCATACCAAGAAACAAATATTTTATTATTCCCTAAGGGAAATGTTAACTATTGAATTTATTAATTTGTGTACTATATATATTAAAATTAAGTATACCTGTGATAAAAACTATTTCCATGTGGACCTAGGTTATTTATTTATAGCCATCGAAACAAATATAATTTAAGTTAAACAGTTGTAATATTATAATTATAAATTAATGTTTTCAAATCAAAATTTCACAAAATATTACTATAAACCTTATATTTTATTATTTTTATTATTTTTGTATAAAATATTGTTACATTTTTTTTTTAATTATCTTTATGTTTAAATTAGCTTCATTCTACATACCAGTTCTTATTATGTTTAATTATTTCATTGGACTAAATATTAGTCTGTATAGAGCCAACTTAAGTTTAATTCGACAATATTTATTCAATAACTTTTATTAATCAGTATTTACTTATCATTACCTATTACTACTTTTATCATGTATTATCAAATCGATCAAAAGTCCTGATTATGTATTTTAAATTTCTCCTCAATTCAGTATTTTATTTAAAATTATTCTGTTTGGGTAATATTGTAACTATATAATGCATATTCATTTGCATTTATTATCTTACAAATACTTTTTATGACTTCTATGAGAACAAATTTTCTATTTTCAAGTATTTGTCTACTTTAAAATAAACTATTGATGTAAACATATTAAACAAGTTATAAACCTAATCTTAAATTATGGTACCCAGAAACAATGTACAATTTAACATAATAGGTATTTGAATTGTCTACAAGTATTATTGTAAATAACAATGATGCAGAAAGTTAGTTTTTGTGTCCTTCCTTATAATATCTAGATTACCTGTAAGTTTTATTTTACTTTTTCCTTGTATACAAAATGCATAATCGAAAATAATAAATGTTGATATTTTAAATATAAATCATCACAAATCTTAATGTTAGTATGAAGATTATTAATTATACATTTAGATTCTCCAAAAATGTATATATGATAAAGTAATACTGTGTTTGTCCGATTTAATTATTATTAATTTTTTTTTATGAACATTGTATTACATTTTGTTGTTGAAACACTAAACTATTTGTGATTTAAACTGTCTTTTAAGTTTCATTAGATAGTGTTTATTTAGTCGAATTTACTACTCATTAATAATTTTGGTCTATAATTATCTATAAAAAATAGACTATGTGAAACTCTGTTAAATTATTTACGCTGAATGAAATTGTTTTTAAACTATTTGTGTTTATATCTTGTGATGGAATTATATACATACATCTTATGTTAATTAGTTAATACTGTATATTGTTTAAGAATCAATTAATATTCTGATAAAATAAACTTTTATTCAGTTAGTAAAAACGCTTAGTTTTCTTGATTTATGAAGTAAATAAAAATAACTATTCAATTTGAAAATGATAAATAAGCTTATCAATTAAAATTAATCAGGTTCATGAAAGTTCATATTTTTATAACTAAATTGTTATATTGACTTATTTTTGTTTCCCTGATTTGCATCATTTATTATGTTACTGTCAAACTTTGAACCCAATTAAAAATGTTTTGATAATGGTTAAATTGTGTTATCAGAATAGTAACATACATTTGGGATTTCTAAAAAAAAAAAAAAATAAATTAAATTGATTGATGTGTTAAGAATAATTTTGTTTAAAACATTTAAAATCAAAATAGTAATTGTTCTGAACGTGAAGAAAGACGAATAATAAAAAAAAAGAATTGAAATAATAGAATAGTTTTTTACTTCATTTCATAAATTATAATAACATCAAAACTGGTTATTTACGATTGTGATATCTATGAATAAAACATTTATTATGATAGAGAGATTTCTGATTATTTCATGTTAATTTAAATATTGAAAAATTATTTGAGGATTTTAATAAATATTAATTTAATGATTTGATTCAAAATCAAATTATGTGATACTGAAAATATTCATGTCGAAGATCTAAATAAAATTTTTTTTTAAGCGCATGATGTTAAATTGGTGAGTTAAATATATCATTACAAATAAGATAAAAAAGTTTCATAACTGTTGAGAATGTCGCAGGTGTATTTAACTCAAATATTAAGCGATGTGAAATAAATGTCCTCGCCGTTGAACATAAAAACCAAATGATGTCCGGTATGTTTCAAAACGTTGCGCGTTTTATTTTTTATACATTATTTTTATTGCGAGCCTTGAACAAAACGCTACTACTTCCGAGCCACCGATCCTTGAAACGAAAATTACTGGCGACGTCGTTTTTTTATTTTTCATCAGATAAGTTGTTGCCAGGGGTTTATGGACAAAAGAAACATATTTTTCACGAAATACACTTTGAACAGAAAACAAAACAAAACTCGACATAGCAATTTTCACGGGAAAGTGGCGAGTGGGTGCTGCCAGAGTCACCAATGTTAATCTTAAAGTTGCGCCCCACCATCGGATCCATCGACGAGTATTTAACGTAAAAGCTAAGGCGTCGAGACAACATGACAACCAAAGTTTCTGGGGACCGGCGAACGTTCTTAAATCGTACGAGGAAACGATTAGAAGCCTCGACTGGTCTTCTCGCCCTTACCACGATTGCGACACGCCAGAACGAGTGTTGGGCAACGAAATCGCGGACGACCGGTTTTTTTCCACGGTTATTGCGTATTCGTTCGGTTGTATTCCTTCACCGCCGCCGCCGCCGCCATCGTCGTCGTCCTCCGGTCTATGGCCAACCTGTTTGTGCCGCTCGGGCGGTTGGCAGCAATGACTTGTTGCGGCCGCGATAGTAGAGTTCACGCGGAGGTTACGTTCTTCGCGTTTATCTAATCATAACGACGTCCTTGCACTGCCACCAGTTACTTCTCCCGCGCTCGCCGATAAAACGTTATTTTTATTTCCCCACCGTCCGCTCCCGGCGAAATTCGAACTCTGCACGAGGCTCATTCGTACCCGTCACTTCCCGTCGACCGGTAACGCGCAGCGCTCATACCTACACGTACGTCCGGCCCGCAGTTCCAGTACCGTTTCGAAAATGTCCGAACCCAAGAGGTCGAAACTGTCATCGTTGGCCCAACTCAAGAACTTCACCGTCGTGGTGGCCGACACGGGCGATTTCGAAGGTACGTACAACGACCGTCGACAAAATCATTCTCGTTCGTCCCCCGCAGCCGGACGGATCGCCGAGCGCTAAGCGTTCCCGGAAAACGATTTCATCGTTTTTCGGTCGTGCTCGTGGCGCCGCGCCTTTCACCGCGGGCCGGTTGCACGTTCCGTTTGTCCGCAACACGCGGGCTTCTAGAACCGTTCATCGACTTATTGTTTTCGCGGGCAAAAGTGAAAGTAGTCCCCGTTCGCAGAGCTTCCCTCCCGACCGCTGTACGATCGTGTGCCCTGCACTGGTACGCGTCCGTTTCCACCGCGACCTGTTCGAAATGAAAACAATGACCTAGGTTTGCGACCGAGTTACGGCTGGGCCTACCCGCAACAAACGTTCTACGAAATGGCTGTCCTTGTGTGTTTCGATCGTTTGTTTTTCGGTCTTGTCGCGGCATGTTTTCGTCGACTGTACGAGGACCCAAGGAAACGCGTTTCTTAATCTAAATGCCCTTGAACTTTGTAGGTACCGTCATCATTTTTAAGTATTTTATAATACTATGCATCATATTATCAACATAATGATCAATTATATATTTTTTTTACATAATTCCAGAAAACTCCTAATAAGTTGTGGTGGGTATTAATGGATGGTCATTATTATTTTGGTGAATGATCATTGATATCATTAGTATCACTTGATTTTAGTCATTACATTTAGAATTATAACTCCATTCCTCGCTCGTTCTTTATTATATTTACAATTACC